GCCATAGCGCTTCTCCTGTCAGAGGGTCCGCGCGCCGCCCATATGCTTCTACAAGTCTGGACTTGCCAGGCTTGTTTTCCTTGCCGGGCGCGTATCCGAAAACGAAAAAAGAAGAGTATTGCGACATCGCTCCCCCCCCCCCTTCCTTTCCCCAGGTCCAGGTCCGCGGTTTCTTTCTCCAGTTACAGAAACAATAATTCGCGCGAATATGAAAATTTACGATAGACCTGAGGCTAGAACCAGATTCTAATTATAGAACGCCATCCTCTCATAGAAACCAGGACTTTGCAGGACTTGGAAAGCCGCGACATCGTGACCGTCACTCCTCTGAATAGCAACTTGGTGGCGTGCATGGAGAGTCATCACCTGCGCCGTTCTGCATCGCGTCAAAGGCACCCCTTTTTGGACCCCCTTCGCGTGAAGAAAAGGGGTCCACGTCCGTTGGAGGACCCCCTGAGCTTGAGCAGCAAAAAGGGGGTACTGAAAAGGGCCCCTCGTCTCTTTGAGAGGAGAAAACGGGGTCACGAAGGGGTTCAAATGAACGAAGAGGGTCGCAGTGGGTGATTTTGGTCAAAAGGGGTATGAAAAGGGGCGAAAAAGTGGTCCGCAGTACCACTTATCGACCACCTTCCACAAATCCATTTCTGTAAGGGTGGAAGCTGAAGCGGCCAAAGCGGCCGGCGGCGGGGAGTCCAAGACCTCGCCGGCCACGCCCACTTGTTGGGGCTCTAGATTAGACAGTGCCCTGCCGCCCTGCCCTCTGCACACAGACCGGATTCGACCGCCGCCAGCGCCACTTCGGAACGCGCTTTGGAACGCACCCCGAGACCCTTAACTGAGTTCAAAGGCGCGTCCCTTTCACGTTATCTGACACATTGAATTTTGTGGCCGTGTGACTCTTGCCTTTCGTTTTGAAAATCACTTTTCTTGCTTTTGTCCAATGCGGAACTTCACCTGGCCCTTGTTGCGTTTTTTACGTTCCCTTTGTCTTGTGTTAAGTTACGGACTCCTGAAATAAGCGGCGCGGAACTGCGTCTTGGAGACAACAGGCTCACGCGCGCTGGAGTGCGTCAAAATCTGGGGCCCTTTTCTAAGGCGCCTCGCAAGGGAGAGAGAGAGAGAGAGAGAGAGAGAGAGAGAGAGAGAGAGAGAGAGAGAGAGAGAGAGAGAAGGCGCGAGAGGCGTGTACTATACGCCCTCTTGTGTTCTGCGCGCCTCTTTTTTATGTGCCCTTATTTTCCTATTTCCGCCCGCGAAAATTTCATTACACTCCGTCGTGAAGGGGGTGCGCAATCCAGAGCGGAAAGAGACGTGAGCGTGAGAGGGAGGAAGAGTGGGAGAGAGAGAGAGAGAGAGAGAGAGAGAGAGAGAGAGAGAGAGAGAGAGGGGGGGGGGGGAGGGATGAGGGGGAGGGCACGCCTATCACACTACGTGAAATAACACAACAACGCAGGAATTAAACGAAACGAAACAAGTTTTGTCGGCTGGCGTTGAGTTCACGCGTGAGCGATGTTCCCTTGGAATTTTTCTTGTTTCATAGTTCATTTTTTATCTTCTCGCACCATGCCTGACGGCTGCCTGTGTGAGGTTTTTCGAACAATGTGAACACGCTGATTTTATTTTTGTTTTCCGCGGGGTCGCGTTTGGGCGCAAATTGCAATTTTGGTGGTGGAGAGCGAGGGCTGCGGCGGGGAAGGGGTAGTTATCGGCTGTTTGGGGCGGGACTGCCTGGGACTGCCTGGGACTGCGTTACGGCGGGACGGGCGGCGCTCGCCTCGCCGGTTATCGCGTCTAAAAGGATCACTAGAGGGGGTCCCCGGCACTTTTACATTTCCCCTTTTTAGCGGCGATGGGGGGTCCTGCGCGCCCCTTCCACCCTTCCGCCTGCCCAACCCCGCCCCGCCTCCCGCCGCGGCTACACTTACTTACACGTCTACAACATTAACTGGCCACAGGGGGTTGGGGTACGGCAGGCAGAACTAAGACAGAGAGGAAACCGAGAAAACAACGGCAACACAAAGAAAGAGAGAAAAGGGCAGCAACACAGAGAACGCGTTCCTGGGGCCACATCGGAAGATTTCGCTTCGTTTGCGCGCATTACGGGTAGGCTTTTGCCGTAGGCTGCAGCTTGTCTTATTTACTCCTTCTGGTCCTCTTGCCTCCTTGATTCATGATTATTTGTCGTTTTCCTCGGAGCTAGCGATTTCATTTACGGCATTTGTACGTGCCTTGGTGAAAGCACAGCGAGCGAATGCCCCCTTTCCCCACCCCATTCTGGCGGGGCGTTCTGCGCGGCCCCTTGCGACCCTGTTTGTTTCGCTCCATTAAACCCGATATCCCTAACTTCCCATTAATACTTCCAACAAGTTCATAGCCTTCATAGAGAGTCTGCGAAAACTCTTCGGGGGCTCACGCCAATTTTTTTTCCCGTCTCGACCCTTTTTTTGTCCACCCCTCCCCCGCACCCCGGCGCTGTATCCCATTTAAGTGCGCGGGAATCGCATAATCATTTCTTTCCCTCGGCCCCCTCTTTTTTCCGTCCCTAGTTGGCGAGACGGGGCGGAACGCGCGCAACAAATTCCCCTGCCACTACACTTCGATATTGGCTGTTTGGGGGTTCGTCGGCTCATTTCCGAAGAAGGGGCTGGCGAAGCGACGCCTCCGTCTGCCGTCATCTGGGTGGCCGAGGCCGAAGCACGCGCTGGTTTCGCACCGCTCGCTTTCTTTTTGAAGAGTCAAAAGAGTTAAAATGTTGAAAAGTGATGTACAAGTAATGAAGTTTGGATGTTTAAATTGTTTAAAAAATAACCCCTCTAAACATTTAAAAACAAAATTTAGGCTTTAAAGTGTTTTTTTTTAACAGAACATATTGACTAGAGAAAAGTTAACAAAGTACTTCAAAACTTAAGAAACTCATTTCTTTGTTAAGCAGTCGAAATAGCTTGCAATCTTACATTACGCTCACTGTACTTTGTCACCGTTTACAAAAAAAAGTACGAACTCTTTAAAAGTTTCAGTTGCGAGTTTTGGTATCCTTTTTTTGTTGTTCCTGGTTGGCAGCTCTGGGATCGATGGCAGACAGCAGCAAAAGGGATGGATTGCATCGATCGGTAAAGATTCAGACAAAAGACTGCAAACAAAGGCGTGGCCCTAGCGACGTCTAGATAGGATGGGAACGGCAGAAGGCAGTGAAAAGCAGTCAACTTGTTCTTGTTCGCGCGCCATTCAGGTCTTCGCGTCTTGTCCGCGAAGTGAAGGAATGAAGGAGGCAAACCCACGCAATGATTCGCGGCCGTTACGTCACCGTGGTTCTGCACCGACAGAAACAGTCTTGGAAATTCCCAGAATTTTCTCTGACTTCGTTTCATTCAAAATTTTGTCCCGCTTATTGACTGTACGCGTTGTTCCTGCTGTAATTGTCATTACTTGACACTTGTTCCTGGAACTGAAATCCCAATTCTAGCCCCAAACGCCACGACTCTAAAGCTACCGTCCGTTTTCCCCTTCGAATCCGTGCTCGTTCTTATAGTCAATATCGCGTTTTCTCCGTGGGAACCCACCAACACCAGGGAACTCATAGGGAATAAATTTGACTCCAATCTTTAGAAAATTACAACTATATTTAGTCCTTATGAGTTTCCTGCAGGTATATTGCAAAATTTTTAACAGTGTGGAGTCACCGATGGCAGTCCTGCCGCCCCCCCAACAGCGCAAGCAAAGTCAGTCCACAAAGTACACATGGCCGACTCACGGCTCAGTCGCAGCGAGATTGAGAGAGAGGGGTGTAATATGCGAGGCAGGCTGAGGGGTTGGCGGCCCCGGCCGTGCCGAGCCGAGCCCTGCCGAGCCGCCCAGGCCGTGCCTTCCGACCCCCGGCGGGGCTCTCCCCGAGATGATGAGACGCTGTCACAGTTATCGAACGAGAAACGATAACGATACAAAGTTCTATTATACCCTGCAAGTCCTCCTCAGCCCACCCCGGCTGGCGGGGGGAGGGGCTGCCCTGGGAGGGGGAGGGAGGGGGCTGCTCTGAGCGTTTCAGCGAGCACTCACAGAGGCTTACAAGTGTCGGAACCGATGGGCAAGTCGGGCAGGCTGGGCAGGCCCCGCGAATGAACGTCGTCCTTGGCAACTTTGGCAAGAAAGAGCGAAGCGGGAGACAGTGTACGGAGCGTCGCGAGGCGTGCCAAGACCAGCCTTGAACTTCCAGACAAAGGAAAGATCAATAGAGGTTTCAGCTAAACAGGGGCAGCGGTCCAGGTTACACGGGAACACACTCCTCACCCACGGACACTCTTATCGCTCTAAACAAAAGCCCCCCATTTTTCAAGAAATATTTTTGGCGGGGCGGAGGAGGGGCTCGAGGAAGGGCGCCAGAACAGAAGACGGGTGTGCCCTTGATTTTGAGAGCGCCTTGACGGACACGTGCACAACAAAGCGGCAGGCTGCCTTGGTGCGCCTTGGCGGTCGGCCAGGAATGTGTCTCTGAATGGCTGAGGAGTACGCGCGGGCCGCGAGAGCCGCGGAGAGCCGCGGAGCGTCTCGCGCGGAAAGAGTCAAATGTGGGTCACATCAGGCGCTGGCAATCTGACCGGCGTCAGTCTAACGCGGCCTCGCCGCGGACGTCACCGCCATATGGTGCTGTCGGTCCTCGTTGCGGCACGCCGCTGGGACTTCCCTGCGGGACTTCCCCCAGGACTTCCCCCAGGAGTCGCTCGCGGCGTGAATCACAGCGCACTGGCTTCGCCTCGGCCCGGTTCCCGGTTGTTCCTGCTCTTTTCATTACGGACCGCAAAACCGCAGGCGGGGATCCGCCGTGACGGCTCGGCGCTGTGCGCGCGGTGCGCTGCGGCGCGGCCGGGCGCCGGGGCATTGTGTCGACCGGCGAGCAGCCCAAGCCCAGCCAGCCGCAGGCCCAGCCGCAGGCAGGCAGAGGTACGCCGGCTTGACTTTGCCGGGCGGACATTCGGCGGTCGGGTGCAGCCGGGAGGATTACCAACCTGGCAACAGCTGACTGCGTGCACTGCGTGCCTCTGCGGCGAGGCGGACAGCACCGCGGCGGCGTCTTCGTGGTCGCACTAAAATCGTGTACACTGTTCGATGGGGCACGCACTGCACAGCACAACACATTCACAGACGGCGCGCTTGGCGCCTGCTTCGCAGCGCTCGGCGGCGCTTGGCGGCAAGTTGTTGCGTTTGGTGCGCACTGCTCCGCACTGCTCCGCACTGCTTCGCAGAGACGCCGACGCCGCTCGGCGCACTGGCGCCGCCTGCTGCCGTGCCGAAGCGTGACGTCCGCCGACTGTCGAGTGCCGAAGTGGCCGAGGCCCGGCCCGAGGCCCCTACCCCGGAGCGCGCTCGGAGCGTCGCGGAGAGAGGTGAAGTAGGGGGGGCCGAGGCGGCGCACCCCGCTTCGGAGCGCGCTCGGCACGGCTCGGCTGCCCTCGGCTCTGCTCGGCCGGCGTTCGGGTCGGGTCGGTTGCGCCCGCCCCCCGGCCCTCCGCCTCGGAGCCAGGGCCCAACCTCTCGCCACGACGCCACGAACTCGACTGAGGCTCCGCATTTGAATTCCGAGCTCCGAGGGTCGGGTTTATTTCGGGCTTCGGCTGTTTCCGCCATCGCTTCGGCGCCGTCGTTCGGAACGTCAATACGGGAGCCGAAAGAAGAAGGCACCGCTGCTCGGCGACTGCAACTGCAGCACGGAGTGTATGAGGGGGAGGGGCGGCGAGCATCGCGGTGGCCGGGGAGGGAGCACGGCCGGCGCGGCCCCCTCACTGTGTTGCTGTTCCATGAGTGCGGCCGCCAGCCCGCACCATATGGAGGGCAAAAGAGGGCAAATTCGGGCGGTCCGGGCCGCGCCAGGGCCGGGGAGGGCCGTCCCGGTGGCCCGGCGGGTCGCACCGTTTTGCCTGCATTACTTCGGACAGAAAAGACCGGGGAAGTTCCACCCAGCGCGTGTTTAAAGCGTTCGGAAAACCGTGCATTCCGGATAATTGGAATGTAAAAAAAGCGTTTTGCGAGCCTGAAGGTAATTGGGAGAATCGCATTTCGTTTCGGCGAATATAAAAACGTCCTCAAGCTACATAAAAAGAAATGCCGCGCCGTGCCGCTCTTTTCAGAAAGTGTGAAATCTAGTAGCGAAATAAAGTGGGTTACTCGGGGATCCTGCTTCACAAATCCCGAGATATTTTCTTTTGCACGGGATTTTTCCGCTGCGTCTCGCGGCGAGAGAAAAAAAAGAGAAAAAAGCAGAGAGCAGGGGAGGCGCACAGAGGGCAATCCTGAGAGGCATGAATTGGGGGAGGTGTAAGGGCGCCTCTTATTCCCACAAGCAAATCAAGGCCTTACGCCGCAAGGCTGCGCCGCACCGCGCCGCGCTCCGCCTCCGACCGCGCTGTCATCTACCCCTCCCGATCTTTTTTCCTGTTGTGTCAGCGGGTTCATCCCTCGGTGAATTCTCAATGACCTTGATGCGCCGCGTCACAGTCTGGGTCAACTCATCAAAGCGCACTCCTACGTCCTCTCTCGCCGACACGATGTTTTACAGCCATCGTTTTTATTTCTTAACCATTTTTTTCACTCCTTTTTTTCACAGTGGCCCGCTTGAAGTACAGTAGCATGCAGGTGCGCGGCCGGGACGCGCGTGGGCGTCTACCGTCCCGCTTGCCGGAAAAGACAGGTACTCAAAACAACAAAAACAACACGTCATGCCACTTTTCCAACAGTCTAACGAAATTCGCGCGGGCGTGGCAGCGCGGTGAACCACGTCCACACTTTCCGGCTGCCGCCGCTACAATTCCGGGACGCGTACCGCAATGGATATCGCGCCGCTAATTTATCGTTTTCTGAGACTGCGCAAAGGAAGTGACCGCGTGTTTGTGTGTGTGAAGGTGTGTGTGTGTGTGTGTGTGTGTGTGTGTGCGCGCGTGTGTGTGTGTGTGTGTGTGTAGTGTGTGTGGGGGTGGGTGTGGGGCCGGCACTGCCTTCCCAGGCTATCGCCGCCAGGAACGTAGTAGAGTGGGAAAGGCGAGGCAGTCGAGGAAAGAAGGGGGGGGGGGAGGGGGAAGGATGGAGGCAGAGGGGGTCCTCGCACTAGTATTCGGCACACGTCTTCTCAGTAACAATACCGACCGCCAACTTTCAGGGCATACATATTGGAGGGTGGTGCTTGCCGAGTACCTGGGATGCTCCTAGACACACACACAGTCACACAGACGGGCGCACACCGACGCCGAGCTCACACCGACGCGGCTGGGCCTGCCACTTTCAGTGTGCCCGATGCACACACCAAAGCTCCACCCCTGGAGTTCCGCGAGCGTTACCCCGTGTCCTCTCTCCTTCTTCCCGCAGGCAGCGCAGCGCGCCCCGATTTCCTGACAGTCGCCGCCGTGGTTATTTTCATTTGGCGAGGCGCTAGCCGCGCTAGCCGACGGTGGGATAAAAAATAAGACCCCCTTCCTTTTTTTCCTTGAGGGAAACGGCCGCGGGGGTGGGGGGCACGGCCAGCGTCTGGAGTGTCGTTCGCTGAGGGGAGAAAGCGGGAAAAGGCTGACATTTTGAATAAAACAAGTGTGAGCAGAACAAAGTTCATAACGTGACATTCAAGCCAAATGCGAGAACGTGTCCTGTCTATAGACCCTCCCCTCTCTCCCCTCCCTCTCCTTCCTTCTCGCCGTCCTTCACCCCTCGGACCGCCTCCCGAATTGCTTGCTGCTGTTTTTGCTAGACCCACCTGTTTCTCCGGGCCTGGCTAGTCCGCGCCGCCCGCGCCGCCCGGCTCGTCAGAGGAATCTTCATTAGAACGCTTTGTACGACTGGCCTTCCGCGCGCTGGACGAAATCACAAAAGGTACTGCGCCGAATCGCGCGCAGGGCAGAGTAGACTTCCGCCTTTCTCGGTTAAAAGGTGAAAGAACCAGAAGAAAACAAACCACAAAAATATTCCACACTTAATCAGTTTATTTCCTGCTAAAAAAAAACGAACGTTCATTGCATACAAATAACAAACCACCACCTGCAAAAGATGTACATTGCGCCTATGGAGAACGTTCGTGACAGTTACGGAGAACTCTTGCGTATGAAGAACTCCTTTTTAGCAGCTAAGAACTTCTTCGCAGCCTGCGACGAAATAAAGGAAAAATTTCTGATTTTGTTGCTGTCAAAATCATTCCTTATGTGAATCGCTTTGTTTTTTGTTCATTTCAAATGGCCACTTTTTTTAAAAAAAGAGGGTCTGTTCCAGGAAAATTGGATTTGCCCGGGGGAAATTCCAGTGGTCCTTCGCTTTACCTCCGAATTGCAGAATATCTGACGAATGGCATTTGAAGCGCGCGAAACGCGGAGGCCGGCCAGCCCGGTACGAGCGCGGTGCGATTGGACGCAATGGAGGACCAGTCACTCGTAATGCAGCGCCGATCGTGCGGCCAGCACCGCTGCAGGTATCAGGGCGGATGTAAACCTCTCTCTCTCTCTCTCTCTCTCTCTCTCTCTCTCTCTCTCTCTCTCTCTCTCTCTCTCTCTCTCTCTCTCTCTCTCTCTCTCTCTCTCTCTCTCTCTCTCTCTCTCTCTCTCTCTCTCTCTCTTCCTCTCTCTCTGTTTCTGTATGTATGTGTGTTTGGATTTCCCGTTGGGGTTAGTGCTGCCCCCAGCGGGCCGCCGCGTGTGCGAGCGCGTGTGGTGTTTGAGTCCCGCGGCAAACACTGAATGAAATAAAACTGCCGCGAGCGATAACCGCCTCACTGGTAAAACTAAAGCGTAACTCTATGCTTGAGTCAAGCATAAAGTTACGCTTGAAGACGTTACGCTTAAAATCAAGCATAGGCTAGAAATTCCCCCATGCATTTAGATAGGGGGAATCTTGGCGGATGAGCCTGTTACGCTTGAGTTCAAGCGTAAACTGATTACGCTTGAAAACAGTGGGTAATACTACGCTTTAGTTTTACCAGTGCTCTGGTTAATGGCGTTTGTGAAGGTCCTCGCTGTGGCCGCCGCAGCCCCGCCATGCGCGGTGTGTCTCGTTGTGCCTTCATCCCCGTGATCGAACTGCCGCGCCTCGCCTCGCCACACGTCCGACCGGACGCTTCCGGCCTGCAGACTCATTCGGAGAGTCGTTTTCGTCGCTCTGTCTCTGTCGCCCCTGCACGGAGCGCCCCATGAGTGCGAGGGAGACAGGGCGCGACGAAAACGGCTCTCTCGGAAATCAGTCTGCTGCGTGCGGTGGTCGGCGGTCCGGCCAGCCTCGCAAGTTAATTACACGTGTAACAGTTGTCGAAAAAAGACGAGGCAGGCCTGCACTCGCTCCAATTATTCAGTGTGTGGTGGCGGCCGGAGGAGCCAGACGTATCGCGCGTGCAACAGTGGATGTTGGTTTTATTTGGCATGTGTGTGTGTGTGTGTGTGTTGCGCGCGCGCGCGCGCTTGTGAGAGTGTGTGGTTTTGTGTGTATGTGTGTGCGTGTGTGTGGTGACAAACGATCGAGAAAAAAAACTTGAAGTGGGGTTGAGGGCAATGTCGATGCTGCAGGCGGCCGCGCGGGAGCGCCTGCGAAGTCTGGGTAGGCAGACCCGCGCGACACGTTACTGCAGCGCGCTGCCTACCTCCTGGGCGCCGTTAGGAAAACGGCTGCAAACGGTCGAACTATTGCCGCTCGCGGTGGTGTGGTCGAACCCCGTCAACTTTCCGGCGCTCCGTTCGACACAGACGTCACATGCACGCTCCAACACTTCTGAATGATTTTGGCCATGTGCATAGTGCGAACTGTTTAGATCGTTATACGAAGAAATAGTTCTTAAGTTGCGAATTGTTACACGCATTTATGTTTAGAATTAGTTGTTGTGACAAGACTCAAATCGAAAGTGTGGTGAATTAATCTCATTTGGCTAAATGAGACCTAAAATGTGGTTACCTCATTCTAGCCCACGTACTCAAGCACGTACTAATGTGGCAAGAATCACGCCCTTTCAGAATAGTGGTGTATACAAGTCTACACTGTTAAAAAAAATATGAAAATTCAGACTGATTTCGTCTTACTTGGTGGTCTGAATCGTAAATTCATTAAATGGTACGAATATTAAGACCAACTGTCTGAAAAGTTTGACCTGTTGTCTGAAATTTGAATTTAGACTAGCAAGTCTGAATATTTAGAGCGATGGCTATCAAGTTTTGTACATTGTCGTCCGAAAACTAAATTCATACTTGTGAAATCGAAAAACGAGTGAAAAAACCCCGTCCCCTTTGTACATTTTTCGATTTTCTCAGAACTTTTATCAATACTACTGTTGTATTTCAAATAATATTTACGTTTAGTGTCGTAAAAGCATAGAGAATGTTTCAGAGCTCCGAAATGGACACTTATTGCTCTATCCGCTAGGTGGCGCTAGTGTCGCATGGATGATCTCTTGGAGCTAAAATTGCCACTTGAAGGCGAAATTGCGAATATTTTGTTACAAACTTATTCCAAGTGATTGTCTGAAAGGGCATGAGCGCACCAAAGCAAGATTCAGGTTAATAAGTGCAGTATAAGCTAAATAACAAAGAATACAATTTCACTCTCGCGCATGGCCACGGGTCGGCGCGTGGTTGGGCTAAGGCCGCTCTCCCTCGCATTTCAGCAGTCACCTCTAGCCTCTTCACTTCCTTTGCAAGTAGGAGTCTACTGCCGTGTACCTAATTTTTGAGTCAAGACGATCCGCTGAGCGTCTACGATAAACCGATGGCAAAAGTTCGCCGATTCGTGTTCTACTCTACAGAGTGGCATTTTTTAGTGCGACTGTTCAATGTCTTCGTACAACTTAGTCTGATAAAATAGACCGACTGGTATCATTTTTCATACAACATGTTGATCTGAAAATTCAGACTAACGTCGTCTGAAACTTTCAGACCGCGAAGTATGAAAGTTTTGGTATGAAAATTCAGACTGAATGTAAGTAAATCGACTTCTTACAAAAAATTATGAATTTTCAGTAAATTTTTTTAACAGTGTATAATTTAGCCGTTACCTTATGTATTGAGTGGTCAAGACCACCCTTTTATGAGGTATGGTTTGCCATGGTTTTTATGTGGTACTGTACCGACCACTGATTCTAAGGGGTATTGACCGCATTTCGACGTGTGGTATATTCCGGTTAACACAGTTTTGGGCCTGCCGCACATTATTTGTAGTCTGTACCACACTTTGAAGGACAGTGAAGCTACTTTTCTTTGCGAGGCGTAAGATATTTGGAAGGTTCGCATTGTCGTACACAAGCGTGAGCGGAGCGACCTCAGACTTTCTACCTCACTCGCTCTCATGGGGCACTCCCCTGGGTGAGGCGCCCATGGGCGATCCATGGGCGGTCCATGGGAAATTGAAAGCGGATATCTATGGACAGTCCATGGACGGCCCATGGACGGCCCATGGAGGGTCCACACTGGCTGCATATTGCTCTGGCAAAGTCCTCCCACTATTAAGCAGTCTTTCCAAGTCAGAATAACATGGTGGGCTCTACATGAACTTTTCGCGCTTCACTCAATTCTAAATTCAGATTTTGTTTCGGACTAACGGCTCAAAAGTTAAAAGGACTTTGTGAAAATTACTTGGAGACTTAGATGCACGAGGAAGTCATTGTCAATTGGCCGTCCATGGACCGTCTGAGGATGACCATTGGTTGTCCATTTGTAATGGATGACCCATGGGCCAACCATGGATTGTCCATGGCCTGTCCACGGATCGACCATGGTCACCCCTTCACGACCATAGGCACCAATGGATTCACCATGGGTGTCTAAGGTTGCAGTATGGACGGACCATTGGTCGCCCATGGGCGCCTCACCCAGGCAGGGGAGTGAAAGAGTCAGAAAGAAGGCTGTTGGGAACCCGGCTCGCTTGGGGCGGTGGCGGTACAGCACCGCGAAGATGCGCGCGGGCTTTAAGAGCACGCACCCACTTGGCATGCAAATTTAGGGCCCGCGAAATATAGAGCGCAGTCACTTTTACAACATAAAGCATTTGCCAGCTCGTGAGTGACGAGGCACGGAGCAGCGCGCGAAGCGGCGCGTAGCGGCGCAAAGCAAGGGCCAGACAGAGAAGGCATGCCCCGGCTAGGGTGATGAAGTTGCCCCCCGCAAACTTGCTCGCAAATGAGTAAGCTGGAGTTTAACAGCCTGTGAAGAGATACATGTCTCCTCCTCCCCCTCCCCGCCTGGGCCTCTTGCATTATGCGCAAATGTCCCACTCACAGTCCGGCCCGGCATTCCAATCGGATTGTTCACTTACGGTTATTTTCACTTGTTGCGGCCCGTGCGGGCCCGTCCCCCGCCTCCCTCCTCGCGGAACCGCAACGAAAATGCCTCCAGCGAGCGGCAAAGATTCCGCAGCAGGGTGGCTGCAGGGCGACAGCTGGAGAAGGGCGGCAGCGATTCCGTCGCGGAAAAAAGGAGACGAGTGCGGAGTGCGGGTATGGCTGGGACACGCGACTGCAGAAAGGGATACAGGAAGCTGTCGGAGGGCGGACGAAAAGAGAACGAGAAAAGGCGTGGGCGAGGTTAGTGGAGAAACGCATGGAAATGAGCCGGAGGACGGAGAGCGGCGCCGGCAGGGCTCGGCTGGAGCGGGCCGCCCAGGGCCGCCTGGACAAAGCGACTCGTTACGGACCGAAACGTGCTCAGACGCGCCCGTCGTGGATCATCGGGCCATTCAACGCTCGCAGTGCAGGGCCTGCACGGCCTGCAGCGCCGCGTAAAGTGACGCACCGCCGCCAATCAGCGCAGCGAAAAGAAACGAGAGAAAAAAAAAGAGTCACTAACTGAACCGGCTACTCTCGCAGAGAAGGCCACGCTCAGAAGCGTAGCGCACTGCGAATAGCGTAGCCAGGAAATTGGGTTTGAGCGATCCGCACGATTAAGATGGACGGTGCTTGCTGCTAATAGGGAATTCGGCGTCTGACAGGAATGCCCCACCCTAATTGAATTTCTCGCAGATTGACAGCCGAGAAAAGCGTGGTGAAAACAGAGGTAAGGAAGGAAAAGGGGGAGGGGGCAGCCGGATGCGCGGGCAGCGAGGGGTGGCGGGGCCCGGCCGGCGAGGCGGAGTGAATACAGATCACCACTTAGCTAAGATTGAAACGTGCCCTGCCCTGCTTCGATAAGCTGGCGCCAGTCAGACATACTTCTGCCGCGGCGGCCTGGGCTCGGCTGGGCTCGACGCACCCCACAGCCACAGCCACGGTGGCGGGCAGCCCTATTCTGGCAGTCGTACTATACGGGTGTTGTGTGTAATAGGGCTCAGTGTGCGTTCATCCTTCACCGAGAAAATAGTTTTGGTTGTTACTTGATGACAAAATCGCCACGCCTCGGCACTGGCCTCGCTACACATCGGCACTAGCCTCGCTACACCTCGGCACTAGCCTCGCTACACCTCGGCACTAGCCTCGCTACACCTCGGCACTAGCCTCGCTACACCTCGGCACTAGCCTCGCTACACATCGGCACTAGCCTCGCTACACCTCGGCACTAGCCTCGCTACACCTCGGCACTAGCCTCGCTACACCTCGGCACTAGCCTCGCTACACCTCGGCACTAGCCTCGCTACACCTCGGCACTAGCCTTTCTACACCTCGGCACTTGCCTCACAATTCCCAGGAAAACTCGCCTCCCTACTTAAAAAGGCGGGGTGCGTAAATTGCCCTGCTTGCAGCGCCCCGTGCGCAACGCGTTGACAACCGGGTTATAAAGCGCACGCCGAGCGCGCTGCGGGAAAATCGGCAAAATATCGCCTTTCGCGTCTAAACACATTAACGTTAATTGCATAAATCCCCGCGTATAATTCTGGCTGTAAACGAGGGGGAGACACACACATGAATGTAATCAGACTGGCGAGCGGGCGGGGTGGCGCCGAGTGGCGGCCCCAAGGTGAGAACAAACTAGAATTAAGCTTCCGCTGCAGCTGCTGTTGTTATGGCGGCTGGCAAGCGCGCGGGCCCACAAGTAAAAACCAAACAAAGTGCAACGATGATGAGACGGGAGTAAAACAAAGGGAAGAATAAACTTGGGTTGCACTTTTTTTCCCCAACTCCCTTACAAAGAGCTGCTGCACTTTTATCTCCGCGGGACGTAAAGCTTGCTCCGCGCACGTGAGAGCACGACCGGCAGGGCCGGCAGGACCAGGAGCACGGTGCTTACGGCGGCATCCGTTTCTTTAAGCGGCTTTTAGCCGAGCCTTCAGCCCTCCTGGAGAGCCCTTGAGACGCGCCTTCCCTCCTCCCGGCAGCGAGCGGCAGTCCTTCTGCGGATCGTTTAATTCGACACGGTGGTACGCTCCTGGGGGCCAGGACACTCATTTCACCGGACAGAGGTCTACAGACGTTTTGAGCTGGTCCTTAAAATATGCTTCCAATCACATGATTCTACGGAAAGTATTCCTGGTTTAGAGGGCAGTAGTAAGTAACCACCTACGTCATCCAACTCCATCTTGAAGACCTCAGGTCATCTTGCCCGTTGTGCGTAACTCAACCTGGTTGGCACCTACGTCATCCAACACCATCTTGGACTCCTCAGGTCATCTTGACCATTGTCCGTAACCCAACCTGGTTACGCAAGTGGGCAAATCGAAGAGATGATGATGGTGGTGCGTAACCTTGGGGGTTTCTTACTACTGAGAGCAATCCATTGGCCGGATCATGTGTTGTTAGGTCCGACGGCCATTTGCGGCTTATGGAGCTCAAAAAGTGTCCAGAGTTATGTCCGCGCCTGAACACAGTATCGCCAGGCGCACACACGCACTCACAACACACACACACACACACCACACACACACACACACACACACACACACACAAACACCCGCACAACACACACGCACACACACACACACACACACACACACACACACAGACGCGCGCACACACACACACACAGCCCGCACGCGATTTGCCGAGATGACTGCGGAGGAAAAAGAGTGGCGGAGTGGCGCAGATTGATGACGAGGCTGCAGTCCGGCACATCGCAACATTGTCTGATGGCATGGCCGGCCGCAGCGGTAGTGTGGCGCACAGTGTACACGTCCCAGCAGAACGATAAAACACGTCTTTGCCCCAAAGTGGGTCAGAGACCGTCAGTGCGGCCCTGCCCCGTAAACAAAACTAGTACATGTCTGGAATCCGACGTCTTTCGGACGTCCCGAAGAAGTCGGTTTTGGGAGCTCTTCGGGACCTCCCTAAACGTACTACAAATGAAGCTCTCTCGTACGTCGCGCGGGGACCTAGTGTGTGGTGCCAGAGTTCGCCGCCAGAGCGCGCCCTGGTCGCTCGTCCCAAAGTAGTCGGTTCCAGGTCGGTTCTTGGAGCACTTCGGGACGTCCGAAACGGTAGGTCTATGTGAGGTCTTTGGGAGGTCCCCCACCACACCCGTCGCAGCGTCCTGCGGCCATGTAGTTCCGAGTGTGTCCGCTAGAGCGCGCCTCGGGCCCACGCGATGCTCACCTGTTGTGCAGATGACAGTCGGCGCACTTTGGCGCGCACTGTGCTTGTGGCGTCGGATCCTTACTTCTATTTATTTTTCTGTTAACTATAGTAAATTCATTTCTCCAAAGAAAAGAAACTACGCACGAAGATGTTCAGTTCTCAGGTGCACCAATAAGAAGAATACTTCAAAGCCTGGTGCAGGCTTATTTCGTGTTTCAATCCAAATCAGAAAGTGCCGGTGTAAGTTAACCTACAATATTCTGTTACTTTGATACTCTTATTGTCAAAGTGTTTATTTTGTTCGTCATCTGATTTTATGCTTGAGAAATAGGCTCTTTGCGGAAACCTTGACCCACTGGAGTTGCCCAAGATTCTGGAACGATAACCTGCACCACTATGCAATTACATGTGGAACAAGAACTGACTCCTGTGCTTCAGTGTCAAATTAAGTGAATTTCCTGCCACAGAGCAAAGTAAGCATGACACCTTGGAATCAGTGCTAATTGAATTTCTTTCAGTCATTTTGGCTTATTTTTTATCAAGGGGTGTTACAGTTATGGTTGCTGTATTTTCTTTTCAGTCCAACTGAGATTCCTCTTTTAAATATTTTGTTTTTGAGTCCTGTCCACCATTTTTGTCTCCATATTTTCTGTTGTTCGTGACAAGTCCTATCGTTTGATTTTTAATTTAAAAAGGTCAGTGAATAAATACATTTTTCCTAACAGTTTATCTGTGTCATATTCACATTCCTATACGCATTCACATTCATATCCGGAACAGTGGCGCACCCTAGCGGCAGGCCATCGGACTACGACACAGGTGCGCGCTCTAACGGTCACCTTCGGAACTACATGGCCGCAGGGCGCTGCGACGGGTGGTGGGGGACCTCCGAAAGACCTCTCACAGACCTACCGTTTCCGACGTCCCGAAGTGCTCCCGAAAGAGACGTCCTGAAATGTAGCACGGCAGTACTTCTTTCGGATGCCTTTTTTGTTTCATAAGGTACTCCTTCCGTACTACATTTTGGGATGTACAGAGCTCCGAAATGGTAGTACGACAGTACTACTTTTGATAGTAGTTTTGTTTACGGGGTGCTGACGAAGCGAAAGCCACACGTCGACTTTCCAAAACGGCTCACATCACACGGAAATCGATCCATCACCGAGTCCCAAAGAGAAAAGAAAGACTGAAAAGAAGCTGCGGTTTTTTTTACAAAGCGTACGCAGTTTTGCAGTGTTTTTGGAGTGTTGTTTCTGTGCGTGCGAATGCGTGTGTCATCCCTTTTATTTCGCTTACCACCGCAAGGCCGGCCGGCTGCTGCTTCGCGAGGCACAGCCCATTACTCAGGGAGCGACGCGAATATTATTTGATGAGTATGCCTCTGGCGGGGCGGCGGGGGCCAACTGGCCAACCACAGAGCAGGCGCTTGCGAGTTAGCTCCAGACAGCCAGAGGCCATGTTTCGCTTGCACCAACTCGGGGTTGCCACGCCGAGAAGTGGAAGGGGAGGCGGCCGGGGAAGACGAGAAAAAACAATAATAACCACTTTGAGTAATGCAACAGCAACTCTAATTTTTCGCAGTGTGTCCACGGACAGTCAACCCCGACGCCAATCCCATCCGCCGTGCCTTATTTACCGTCTGCGTCAGAACGAGGTCACTAGGGAAGCTCACAGCACACAGTCTGAGAAAGGCAACCTACCCTCCTCGAGCCCCGCCAGTCCACGCCCAGCCAGCCACGCTCGCACTTTCAAAGAAGATCACTCCATGCTAATATTTGCAGTATCTCCGTGGGAGAAGGGAAGGGAAAAAAACAAAGCCGCGCAAAAGCTCCAGTCACCTCGCATACTCCCCCCAAATCCTTGTTCTATTCCCGTCCATAAATTCTTCCCCTCCTTCTCGCCCCCCGCTCCCCCGCGTGCCCCTCTCTCTACAAGGCAATCGAAATGCTCTCTCCTTTTGAAGGGACATATATCATGTTGCCGACATCCACACGAACTTGCGGAGCGAAGATTCACCCCCAGCCAGGGTCGGGCTGGGCCCCCGACCGCGAGACTAGCGCCATCACTTCATTTCTTGTTCGCTTTGTTCTGCGAGACGCAGCGCAGCCGGCGGGAAAGAATTTCTCCGGAGCTGTCAAATCGCCAGCCAAACGAGACTCCGCAGATTTTTCTCTCCTTGCCGCTGCCTCTCTCTCTCTCTCTCTCTCTCTCTCTCTCGCCCTTTCTCTCTCTCTCTCTCTCTCTCTCTCTCTCTCTCTCTCTCTCTCTCTCTCTCTCTCTCTCTCTCTCTCTCTCTCTCTCTCTCTCTCTCTCTCTCCGGTTATCACTTTCATTCCCCTCTTTTTCTCTTTTTTTCTTGCTCCCATTTCTGCGCTAGGCATCAGGACGGTGCTACGTTCTAAGTTTCCCCGTGAGGGGGAAACGAACACAATAGCAGCGTACTCGCGCAGTGGAGGCGCGGATTAAAAGCGGACAAAGCAAACAGAAAAACGCGTCACTTGGAATTGGCGAAGGCGGCCCGTTTAACGTAATTGCGGTAAGGTGGAATTATTTGCCACCTACCGGCATTCGCCGCTCTCGCCAGCATTTGGGGTGCGAATTGGCCTCACGCTATATGCAAATGCTGTGTGCTCCGCGCAAGCAGGTTAGGGAACGGAGCTAGGCCAAGCTTGATGGGCGGCGGTGGCCCAGGCTGTGGCCCGGGCCCAAAGCCCACCCTGCGGCCTCCTGTGCCTCGGCCTCGGCTCGGTGCGGCTTGGCTCGGCGCGACTCCACTTGACTGTCGTGAACGCCCAACGCTGGCCAAGCCGGGCCACGCCGCCTCGGAGCGGCGGAGCGGCGCGCAAGTTACACAGGCCAAACGTATACATTTACACACTAATTGGAGCGTAACAGAATTTACGCTTTTCCTCCAGCGATAAAATCTAGCCGCGCAGGGGAGGAACGGAGGGAAATCTTGGTCCACAGTGGCGTGGAGGACTGCTGCTTGAGTGTGTAAATTCGAAACGACAAAAAGGCGTCGGCCCCCGTGTGCCTTGACAAACACGCCCCGCCTGACGGGCCGCTGGCGTTTTTCGGACAGCACACTGAGGGAAATGTTTTGGGGCCACACCTAAACTTACAGCTGTGACAACCAATCTGTTTGGTCGCTGGGGGTTCAATTAAACGTTCGATGGCCACATTTAAATCGTTTAGTCGCACTACTTTAGTTGTGAGATGTACTCTTTTTCTAACATGTCGCCTGTCTATTTTAGCCACTGCCACTAAATCAAATCTTGTTACAGTGACTGAATGCGATAAGGTCTGACGATTGACTGTTTAGTCCTGACACATAAACGTAAACCGATGAAAAAACGACTGCAAAACGAGTACTCGAACCACAGACCTACGTGTTACGAGTCCGTCGCTATACCAACTCGCCCACCTGGCTGACTGAGAGACGCCGGCATTGATGGGCCTGTTGGACTGACGAATGTGTGCGGACGCACCGAGAAAATGATAGCTCGCTCCCTTTCCTGGGGTCCCAAGTGTCCCACAGTCCATCTCCTGACAGCACAATAGTATACAAAGATACTATGCCAGGAGAAACTGGTTGCGCTACGGGGAGTTGAACCCCCGAACCCGGCTTCTTATCCAGCCTCCAGGCGCGGAGACCACTGAGCTACCGCACTGTTGAGAATGTGGCGGAGCGCTGGGCGATGGCAACGCGACTTCCGTGTTGAGTGTACCATCGCCAGTGTTTCGGTGCCACACCTAAACGCTTTAGTCGCGACTACTGACCATCGATCAAGCCTATGACTAAAGCCAGTTTAATCGAGTCCTTTCATGCTGACTGTTATTGGCGGTTCAGTCACTCTCACTATTTAGCAGTCTTATTGTGATCATCGGCTGAACAGTTGCAAGGATTGAACTCGTGTAACTGTCGCCATTGGGGGGTTCCACAAAACACAGTTTTATCGCGAGGCACCGACCCCTTCTCTCAGTGCAACAGACTGTTCTTGGCACGGCTCCTGGACGGCGCGGTCCGAGCCCCTGGCTGCCCGGTCGGCCCGGTCGGCCCCGCCCGCGGGCACTCGCACGCAGTGGGGCCAAGCGGAGCCAAGCCCTCAACAGGTTAGGATTACGCCGCCACCACCAATCTCCCTTGAGATCACCAGCGCGGCCACCATGGACCGCGATGGCCCACCTGTGTACCAAAGTGTGGCCTGCATGTTGAACCACAGCCAGGCTCACCACGGACGCATGGCGCCTGTGAGGTACGCAACCCAGTGCGCAGCTCGGCGAGCGGGTTGCCTACCCTCCGATTCACAGGCGCCTGCCGCGCGGACGGGCATGGTGCCGCGGCCTCACTGTCTGTGCACAGCGATGATCTTGCCTTTTTCACATATCGTCCTCCTATTCACTCTCGCCGAGAATGGCAAGGAAGATGCTGAAATGGATGGACGCGGAAGGTGCCTTTTTTGTGGTTGATCACACTGAATTCCTTTGTACAGTTTTTGTGCGTAGCCTCGCACGTTTTGCGCAGGCGTACTTTCCGTATAAATTTGTTTCGCACATTTCGCACTAATTTGTGCGACCTCGCGATCAAACTTCTGCGAAGAAGTTCGCAAGTTTAAAATTGTGTGAGAGCACGTACAAAATTTTACCAATGCATTCAGTTTGATTTGAGAGCTATAATGTGACAACCCAGACAAAGCAATAACCATAACTCGGAATTAAATTTACACCAGCTCGAACAATAAAGGTAAATTCGTGTGGGGCCGGACAGCTGGAAAAAGCAAAATAAACATCATATAAAACCCGCGACACAACACGAAAACGCGCCGATCAATCAGGAAGAAAAAGAGGAAAAGGGGAGGAGGATGAGTGGCCACGTTATGAGGCAATTAGCGGCCGAAAAATGACGAGAAAGACACAGTAAATAATAACCGGCCGAAGACTTGTTTTAATTGCCGCCAATTGGTCGATCGCTGGAGGCCGGAATGCCTCGTGATACAGCCGGCCTGCGTGTTCCTCGCGGCGCCGTAACGCTGTTGACGCGCCCGCCATATTGCTGTCACCAACATAATAAAACGTCAAGGGGCGAACGCGGCGTGGCGCGGCGCACACAGTCTCCGGAACGACTTTAATTTCAGCCTTTACGACGCGCACGTCCAAACTAGAATTAAATCACTCGCAACATCATTTTTAGGGCGGCTCGCCGGAATCCACCCGCTGTGGCGGCGCCCGCTTCTGCCCTCATCCGGCCACCCGGCCTCGCCGGCGTGCTCCGCCTCCCCCCACGACCGCCCACCCCAGGTCGCCGTCGAGCGGCGCGCAGCTAGCGGAGCGGGCGGAGCCACTACACACTCCCAAGTACCACAATCTAGACCGCCGCCGCCCCGAGACCGCCCTTCCCGCTCTTTGCCCTTATTAAAGCGATTTTTGATCATCATGTCAGGGCGGCGACGAGTGCGAGACGAGGGGGAGACGACGAGGCCGTGCTGGCCTCGGTGCACGGCAGCTGCCACCCAGTCCCTCATCACCAGCGTGGCCTCGGCCGCCCCTGCCCACCGGGCCAAAGAGCTTGGCCGCAATATTGTCATTTTTTGCGCCGCCCGCCGCGCCAACGCCGGGTGTGCCCATGGTGCGCCTCTGAGCGCGCGGCGCGACACACGCGGGGCCCACCACACGCACACACATGCATACACACACACACACACACACACACACACAACACACACACAC